CAGATTTCCCTAATTAACTGATTTTTCAATTATTATGCAAGAAGTATAATTTAACACCTCACCCCTTACCTATAACAAAAATAAAGTTACCTTGCATTTACTGCGTGGTAAAGGTACTGAATAGCCATCATAGTGCTAAAGAAACCACTGAAATCCATGATTCTTATACACAGGTTGTATATAACTGAGGAGAGTTTTCTTACAGTAGATCCTGAAATAAGCTTAGACAAGGAGATGTGCTGACGGGTTTAGCAGTCTGGGATTTTAGGTACATAAAATCTTTTTACCTGCTGATATCAACTTGTATGTTCTGACATGTCTAAGAGATAAATACACATTAGAAAAGTAGTCATTACCCTGTTATAATTTCTCACCTTTAAAAGATTAATATGCATAATTTATTTCTGTTTACATGCAAAGTTGTAATGGCAAAACACCTTAAGCAAGTGTAGCATATTTTCTGAGCACCAGTCAGGGGCTGGATGCTTTCTGTTAAGCGTCAATCCTTCACAAAGATAAAGTGACAAATATTTTTCTCATGATAGAACAGATTTTTGCAAATGCAGTTTGGTTCAAGTGGTCTAATAATCTTTGCTACTTTTTGCAGTTGCTTGATGACCGATCTCATCATTCAGTCACAGTTAATTGTGTGATAAAGTATTTCCCTCATCAGTGAAAAAGGAGAGCTAAGAAATGCCTTGTGTACCCAATATCAATAACAGTCACATGTTTAGCTGGCTAATAGGTTACACCTCCTAGCAAACCTAGCTGCAATAACTCCCTTATCTTTTAAAAATATGGCAAGTCTGCCTCAGCAACTTCAGTTCCCAAGTTCTTGTAATGTAAAATTTTTAGATGCTTACACCTCAAAGTTAATTGTACAATAAAATGAGTTATCTGTATGACAGCTTGCTGAGGAAACTAAACACACAGGATTAACTTATCTGATACAGGGAGAGAATCTTACCGTTTCTGTACCTTATAAGATGTAGAATCACAGAATCACAGAATAGTTTGGGTTGGAAGGGACCTTAAAGACCACCTAGTTCCACCCCCCTGCCATGGGCAGGGACACCTTCCACTAGCCCAGGTTGCTCAAAGCCCCGTCCAGCCTGGCCTGGAACACTGCCAGGGAGGGGGCAGCCACAGCTGCTCTGGGCAACCTCTGCCACTGTCTCACCACCCTCACGGGAAAGAATTTCTTTCTTACATCTAACCTAAATCTAATCTCTTTCTATTTAAAACTGTTACCCCTCACCCTATCCCCACACCCCCTGGTCAGGAGTCCCTCCCCACCGTTCCTGTAGCCCCTTTCAGTACTGGGAGGCCGCTATCAGGTCTCCCCGGAGCCTTCTCTTCTCCAGGCTGAACACCCCCAACTCTCTCAGCCTGTCCTCACAGGGGAGGTGCTCCAGCCCCATGAGCATCCTCGTGGCCCTCTCTGGATCCACTCGAGCAGGCCCATGTCCTTCTTATGTTGAGGACCCCAGAGCTGGACACAGCACTGCAGGGGAGGTCTCATGAGAGCAACAGTAACCTCCCTTGACCTGCTGGTCACGCTTCTTTTGGTGCAGCCCAGTATACAGTTGGCTTTCCAGGCTGCAAACGAACATTGCCAAGTCATGTTGAGCTTCTCATCAACCAACACCCTTAAGTCCTTCTCCTCAGGGCTGCTCTCAATCCACTCTTCACCCAGCCTGTATTTGTGCTTGGGATTGCCCCAACCCATGTGTAGACCTTGCACTTGGCCTTGTTGAACTCCATGAGGTTCGCACGGTCCCACCTCTCCAGCCTGTCCAGGTCCCTCTGAATGGCACATCCCTTCCCTCCAGTGTGTCGACCGCACCACACAGCTTGGTGTCACTGGCAAACTTGCTCTGGGTGCACTCAGTCCCACTGTCCATGTTGCCAGCAAAGGTGTTAAACATTGCCAGTCCCAATATCAACCCCTGAGGAACACAACTCATCACTGCTCTTCACTTGGACATTGAGCCATTGACCACAACTCTTTAAGTAGTTTATAGGAAGATAAGAACAATTAAGAAATTCCCAGACTAATTTTTATTAAGAGGAATTCCTATTTCTGAAATGCTCTTTTCTGTTCCTCTAAATCATGGCAAAGATCTTGTTCATGCACAGATTTTGAAGAAAAATCTCTTGTCATATATAACATTTTTTTTTTTTTTTTGCCAGGTTTTGGTAATAAATTAGCATTTGAGGCTGAAATGTTAAATAAGACATCTGCACGGAGTTCTATTGAACTATCTATTTGACTTTTGATTGTCAAACATTACTTTTGATATTTCTTTGTAAATTTTGACTCTTGTGTTGTCATTTCAGTTCCCTCCCTCTCTTTTCTTGAGAAGTTTCAAGACTGTTTTAGAGCTTGGGGTATGACAAATGGTACTTGTGAGAATGAGCTTCCTGCCAAAAGTCATGGGATATCACTCACACAAACTAGAAATTACTGAATTAAAAAAAAAAAAAAATCTATTTATTTTTGAGAGGACACTTACTGTTAACAGCTGATCTGTTTGCATGGCTGAAGAAGGTATGCAAACAACTAGTCTCAGTTAAAAATAGCTCTTACTGTCCTGTAAGTGCTGATTTCTCATTGCACACTAAACATGGATCTGAATTTGAGCTGCTTTGATGACAACACATATGCACAGTCAGCTACATCTCATTGATTTTTGGGTGTTGGGTAGAATACACATCAGTTTTCCTATAGACGTTCCAAAAATGATTGATCCAGGCACCATTTTTCACCAGATCACTAAGTGTTAATTCAATTTGATGACCACAGCAGGTAATAATATATACTACAAGGAACTTACTTTCAGTAGCATACAAAGTACATCCTTTTCATCCATACATGTTGATGCAGATCAAATGCATTTTCATATAAAGTCTTTGCTGGTTGCCTTTCAGTAAATCAGCATGTCATAGCAACATTATGCTTTTCCCATTGCTTCTTTTGTAGTTTTTCCATGAGAATCTAGAAAATATAACACCACAACTACCAACACCACAGGCAAGCTTGCTTTTACACATAGTACAGATTTCTCTACTGGAAAAGCTCTTGATGAATTAATTTTATGATAAAAGTCAAGTAGCATATTTCGCAAAGCAGAAGATTAAAGAAAATACATTGCTCTGTATGGCATCCAAAATGCAGTACAGAAAGCTGCCCAGAGAGGGAATAAACTGGAATTGTTCCACTTTAGTTCAGTCTGAGGAAGTAAAAGGGGGAAATCAGAAAGCAATTAAACAGTACACAACAATTAAATAAGGAGATAACAGTGGCCTATACAAATTTACTGAATTCTTTCTCTGGATATTACTAAAATGGCAATTAAAATAAAAAGAAGAGTGGATCCTGCAATAAGTAACCTGCTTTAGAACAAACCCAACTGCAACAAGAAAGATGCTATTTCAAACAGTAGTTTTTATTGACATGAAATTGCCATCATCTCCATAAGGCAAACTAAATACATCTAATAATGTGTTATTCTCTCAATCCTTATAAAAAAAAATATTTCCATAAATAGAATGTGAACAACCCAAGAAAAAGCACAGAAGTGTAAGTCCTTGCCAGTCCTTGTCTTAATTTCTTTCTGTTTTCAGATGAAAAAGAAAAATTTCAGGGGACAAAACAAAAAAGAAGAGTTAGGAAATGGAACAAGTCATGGTCTTTGTGAGCCCACATGCTAAACAAAGTGAAGTTATCATGACTAAAGGGAAAAGTCAATTTCATATTGGTCTAGGGATATGACCTTTGGAGTCTTAATCAGAATTAGGAAAAAGCTAAAGAAAGCATTTCCAGATAAATGCTTGCTGCTGTAATCTGAGAGAAGGGAAAGCTAAAACAGTACAGGGGATTTGGCAAGTGATGTGGTGCTCATGCAATTAATAGTTCATCATGGGTTGTTAAGGATGTGATTAAAGGACAGTCAATTTACTAAGGACTTAAGATGTTTACGGTGAAGAAAAAAAAGTGATTATATCCTCCCTTCCTCCTCTCTTCCCTTTTATTACGCTAAATGTACACTTTCCACACATCTATGAACACAAAATTACAGATTTTCCTTGTGAATTTAAATAAGTACATCACCTGCGAAGAGACATGGAAAAATGTAGGTGGAAAAAAAAAAAAAAGGGGGTGGGGGGTTGTCTGTGTGTGTTGTAATGCAGTGGCTAAAGGAGATTTTTTTTAAGCCTTTCAGAAACCCAAAGCATTTTAAAAGGCTAAATTAATAGCCACTACACCCTTTGTGATGTTGTTGATAATTGATAAACTATAAGTGAGAGACAAAAATTCACTTTGTCCAACTGCATCAAGGCTGGCTATGCTTTACCTATGCCGTTTCATATTCTATACACTTAAAATGTGAGTTAGGGCGCATTTTAATAGGATTTTTGCTCAATAATATAGCTTTAATGATTTCTAGGTCATCATGAGACCAATGACCTTTACTAAAGGTCAAAAATGGAAGCAGGGTCTTTCTAATGCAAGACTGTGAATTCTCCTCATTGCATACTACGAGTCATGTCTGACAGCCCTCAGTCTATCTACAGACCATTGGAATTTACATGAGCAGTGTCAGGGCACTGTCTGTACTCCCAGTTGTTGTGGTCTTTTGTTGGTTTTTTGTGGGTTTTTTTTTAATAATTATGATTTGTTAGACTTCAATTTCCATTATAATTTGGGGGAGGAGGGACCAGAAGAAGGAAAAATGCATTTTATTATGAATAGGATAATGATATCTTTGTAAAGATTTTTGAGCATCTGAACCAGTAGCAAACACACTACTGTTTGAGCCAAACTAGAAACCACCCATTCTTCAGGGTTAAGGACTTCTACTAGGAACAACCTGCGAGATGTTAATTCCACGGAATATAAATCTGTAGAGGTAGATAGGCTGCAAACAGAGTAAGAGCTTTCCTTAAAGAAGGTTCAGAATGGCTCAGAAGTGGCTTCTTTTTGTATTCCCCTCCAGAAATGCAAGGAAGCTTTTAGACCACAAGGCTGATGTGGATCTGAGACATCTCCTGTGCAAAACTGTTGCATTAAGGGACTATCTCTGACATTGGAGCACTGTGAGGTAAGCCAGGCAGACCAAATTACATAGCTGCCTCATCTAGAAGTAAATGAACTATGGGAAAAAAACCCCACTGTTCACTTCTCATTCTAGCCAAAGGCAAAGACAAGTTTTTATGAAAAAAAGACATGAAAATCCTTTGACTAGATTTGTAAAGCCCAACCAAAATCTGTTGTCATAGGAGTTAGATAAATATGTAGCATCGATCTCTTCTAAACACTGCTAATCTCAGTAACTTCAAGACAGAAGTAGTAGAGATCAAGGCAACCAGCTCAGTTGTAGCACAGAGAATCTTTTCTGCACATATATTTCAATCAGCTGTAAGCAAACTCGAATGTTCTTCCATGTTTAAAATTATGAAGATGAATTTGAGAAACACAACAAAGGGAAGATAAAGATTTCATCATAAGTAACAACAGCTTTTACTTTTACATTTACTGCAAGAAATACGAAAGCCACTCCTTGTTTGTAGCTGTCCCTACGGAGTCTAAAGGAAAGATAAAGTAAATAAAATGTGAATTCTCTCTATCTAGGTGCATTTTTAAGATACGTAATTATTAGATTTAACCTGTATAAAACTCAAATAAACCTCAGTCCTGGAAACAACTGGATTCAGCTCGGGAAAGCATTCAGCCATTGAAGCTAATTACAGTGGCCTCAAAGAGCTTTCTGTGAACAGATGCAGTCATCTCTCTGAAGTTCACCAAGCATTACACCTATTGCATCTCTGACACTTAAGGAAAAATATTAGCAATAGTGAGCTGACCTAAGGTCTAATCCTGCAAGCATGCATGTAGCTGACTCCATAACGCCCCTATGGTGATTACTGGGGACTTAATTCTCAGCTGTCCTATTAAAAACCCATAAGCCACCTAAAAGGGTCAGAGAGCATCTGGGGTTCTCCTTTAACTGCTATCATAAAATAAGCAGCTGAATCTACGAAGGATGGCCACCAGGAAAACAGTCTCTCTGGTGTTTTAAAAGTAAACCAGTCACCACTGCAAATTGTTTCTAAAGTCATGCCATTAGCTGCATTTTGCCCGGGGTTTGCTGTGCCTCTGAGTTCACCTGAAAACATCAGACAGTTCACGTAACAGATTGCAAAGTCACAGGTTTCCAGGGCTACTCTTGAGGACCAGTGGGCACCAGAACAGCAAGTCATTCAATCCAGTACGCAGAGGACAAACCGTGCAAGGTGTTTATAAGGAAGATATTTGAAGTTACACAGAATGTTATCTGAAGGAAACTTATAAACTTTTTGCTTGTTACTGTGTGTACCAAAATTTATGGCTGAATTACCTAGAGGACTTCAGCAGCACCCTGAATGAGGTTCAGGTAAAATCACTATAAAGACCAGCAATAGTTTCCAGAGAAGCTGATCTATTCCGAGCAATCTGCTGAATCACTTTGATATGGACCAAAGGATGGCTTGGGTGGGGGGAACTAAAACAACAAAGCACACATTTTTGTTACAGTAAGAAAGATGTTCTTGGAGTCTACTTTAGTCCCCAGACTTAAACAGATTAAATATTAAGTATTGTATGCCAATCAGTACACTCAGAGCTATAAAACTAGAGTGACTTTATTAATGAAGACATGATTACTAAGTGAAGTGCAGGGATGGGAGCAGAAATTAGAGCCATTTTGATCATCGTGTGCTAATGTAGTCACATAGTCATGTGTACGATTTAACACATTTCATCCCATGTCCTGAGAACAGTCCCACCATGAGGAGGTAAAGAAGCAATTGCTTTTGGACGAAGATCAGGAATAACTAGAGAAGAGCCAAAGAAATTAATCTGATGTCAACACCATTAAAACATTTACTGTAATATAAGAGTTCATTTCCACACCACAATAAATTCAGGTCAGTTGATCTTAAATCCATATTTCTTGACTTTATTGCTCTCAAAATGAGACAACTCAGTCTTCCATTCAATGCATTTTTTTCTTAAAATACAAGCATGTGATTTTGACAAAAGTTTTTACCTAGACACACTTTGAATATTCATGTTGATGAATTAATAACCAAGATTTGAGGTAAATTAAGTTGAAATTATTTTCTATGAAAACCAGAATTGTGTTTACATTTAGTGAAGGATGAATCTTCTTCACTTCTATTGGAAACTTTAGATAGTTATTTAGCTATGTTACTTTCCCAAGCAGAGCCTGTTAAGCTGTACAGTATAGAAGCTTTTCCTTTTGAGTCTAACAATTAAATCTCAATCAAGTACTATATTAAAGTAAATTTATTTTAAAAATAAAAATTAGAGGAGAAAAGTTTATTGAAGATGGGCTATTTTTAATGATGACGCCAGACCATTATTTTTTATTAAGAGTATTTTGAATTGAACACAATAGAAACTTTCTTATTCAACTGTCATTGCTGAAGAGTCATTATTTAATTTTTTTACTCTTCCATTTCAATATCATCTTCCCTGAAAGAGGAGAAGCAGCTAATAAACTTATTTTCTGTTACTATATTTGTAATCTGAAAATATGCATTCCAGTATGCAAACTATTTATATGTCCTGCAAGAGAAAAAAACCCAACAACTTGTATTAGTTAAATGAATTTCAACATTAATTTAGTTTTGGCTTAATGTTCCTAAATCCCAGTAGCTAAATCAAGTGTCCACAATAGGAGAGACTGGTACTGTATACAATTTTTGACATTTTACTTCTCAATGAAATATTTATTTGAAGCGTTCTGGAATATATTGTTAAGAAGAAAAATATCGTTCATCAAGGAACATTTTCTCCATGATTAGCCTTCCACCTAAACCCCCCAATCTTACTGTTTCTCCTGATTGTACGCGTATTAATCAGAATCTATGGGCTTAAATCTTTGAATTTCACAGGCATCTTATTGAAAGCTGCTGCCAAAAGCTGAAGATCATTTACACCAGTGCTGGTGTAAGTGTCACAGAATGTCACCATGAACTCTCACACAGCAATGCATGCTCTGACAAGATTACTCTCATGTCATGGTCATCTCAGCAGCTTCAAATGTGCTTAGGATTGCTTGAGCCTTCTAAGGCAGCATGTATCTGAGTCACAGAGGTTGCTACATGGAGTCTTGAAAAGGTGAAGGCTCTAAAGCTGCCAAGCCTGAAGCATAGGGAAATGAATTCCTCCCTCAATATTTTAGTATTAATTACCTGAAATTGTAAAGCAATAAGACAGGCAAACAATGTTTCTTTACTACCCTATTGTTGAAGTAATCAGCTCAGAGAAAAAAAAAATGTGAAAACTCAAAGCTGGCTTTAGATATTCAGTTAGTTACCATGGAGGACTGACTACCTGCCCAATTCTGAGCACCCTTTCCTGCATAAGTTTTACTTTAAAATTTCATCATGATCTGCTTGTGGTTCAGCCAAGTAGTGTGGTTTTATTGTCTTTTGGTTGGGTTTGGGTTGGGTTTTTTTGGAGGGGGGGAGGGCTTGGGGTGGGCTTGGTTTTGGTTGGTTAAATTTTTTTTAAAGAAGTTTGAGTCACTAAATATTATAACATGCCATATTCTTAAGTTTATCCATACCATTCTGAGAAGTTTAAAGGCTATTACATAATAAAACTCATATATCCTCCATTTAAAAATGCAGAAAATTCCCATATACCTTAACCACCCTCTCAAGTGATACTAAACGAACAAAAAAAAAAAAAACCCAAAACAACAACAACAAAAAAAGTCTGGAAAGTACAATTACTAATTGTATGTGTCAGAAACAGTGCATCTTTCTTAGAATTACAAATTTGCAGTCTTTCTTTCATAACTATGTGGTCTTATAATAGACCAGCTGCCCCAAAGCTGTACATGGTAGAATAACAATGAGGCATTACAAAGACTCAGTCTTTTTTAGCAGCATCCTATTAGAAGATGACAAAAGCCCCATGTCTTGTATAATCTACTGAGCGCAAAGTTGCTCCAGAAGGGTAACGATCATCTCACTTAGCTTATATGAAGCTCAGTAACTGAAATTCAGACTATAAACTAGCCTCTACTACACCATAATCTCTATAGATTGATATGGAAGCAGCATATTGAGTTGAACAATTTAATTGAGTTGAAAAACTAACTACACAGTTGCTTTACATCATTGACATCTCATCCTCCCATGCCCAAACACTGTTTCTGCCAGAACATTTCAGTCTTCAGTTCAGGACTTCCCCATATGAGCAACAGAAGCTAACATCATCTCTCATCTCTACGGAAAGATTTGTTACGGAAGCATTTTTATTTAAGTTTGTGAAAACAAACACCCAGGGCAGTATTTGGTTATCATTATTTCTTTACGTTGTTTTAGACAGAATTTTCTATAGCATGTAGACTAAACTACAGCATAAGAAATGTTCCTTTTGAGGAAAAACCCCAACCAACACTGCAAGCTTCTTTGGGTCAAAGAATGGCTCCAGGCAGTTTCCCTTATTGGAACAGATTTTCTGACATCAAAGTTTTAGTATGAAATTCATTGTAACATTTCCTCAATTATTTAATAGATTCAAAGGACTTCCTTCAAAAAAGTAAACTGAAGAACACTTGATATTTTTTCTTCCTATCAATCACAGGTAAAATAACTGTACAGCTTCTACCACACTATAACATTTATATTTGCATTATGCTAGTTATCATCCACTAAAATCTCTGCTATGGAAATATCAGGGTACAATTATGATAGTTATCTTTGTGCTATAACCCAGACATGCACTTAAGCAGATGTTCAATTTCATGCTTATTAGTAGTCTCATTGAAGCAATGATACTGAATTCTATTATCTGTCTACTTTGTTTTCTTACTCTTTCTACTTCATTCCGTACTTTACAATTCAGGGCAAAATAAGCATATTTCTGAAATATGCTTTCAAAGAGATGCCTTTCACTATACCATGCTGTCAATGCTATAAATTTAAGCCTTGCTTTCTTCACTAGACTTACTGTGTATACTGATGCTTTTTCTTCAGCATTCTTCTTGATACCATATTGCCAACTGATACAATATCAGACTAGCATCCACATTTTTAATGCATGCATTTTGGCTACGGAATGCATGCAACACCAAAGGTTATATCACAAAAGCTATGTACATCATCCTAGTTATAGATAGGTGGACACAACCATCGCTCCAGGTGAAAACAGAATTTATTTCTAATGTGAAAAGCTACTTCCCTACCGAAATAAGAACATATTTCTACTTTTTCAGATCATCTCTGAAAAGAAGAGCATAAATGCTGTATTGTTACAAGCTAGCAGCACCCACGGATACCCTCCAAATGGCTCCACAGAGAGACTAAGCTTCCTGCAGGAGCATCTGGATTGCTGCCGAATGGCCATCTGTGTTTTACCGTGAAGAGGATTATAAAACTATTTGCCAGATAGAACCTTATGTGAATTTTTTTTCCATTGCCCCAAAAGTAAGCTAATTCTTAAGAACAGTATCTGGAAAATGGGCCTATAATAATGGGACCTAGAATTCAGGCATTTCTCAGCATTTAAACAAATGTGCATGAACAAACTTTCTGCACTGTTCTTAATATTTTAATTGTTTCTTATCCATTCCTTCTTTCTCTCCCCTCACTTGCATACATAAATCACTTCTTTTGCTTGCAAGTTTTTCCAGAGCCCCTTTCTCCATTATTTACTCAAAAATAAAGCAGTCCCTAATTATTTGGATCCATTACAGTAAACAATTTTTGAGAGGAAAAAAGCCTTTATAGCTCTGTTTAAGTAATTGGAGTGTGACAGCACATCACACTGCAAGAGATGTTCCTCTCAGAAGATTAGGTACTTAATCTGTGATTGGGCTTGATATACTAGGAAGATTGACAGAGACTCAAGTAAGAGCCAGGACAAAATATCAGCTGACAACTGAAAAAAATAGAGTATCTCAGAAGATGTGCTGATCATATAGGATCAAATTTTAATGGACTAGAGAGTAAAAAGAAGCATTTTCTTTACCTTAGAGTCCAGACATGAGGGCAGAGGGAAGAAAGGGGAGGGGCAGCCTCCCTTGAAGAAAGGAACGGTAACTTTTTGTTTTCACAATGTCTTATTTTGGTAATAACAAAGATTGTATGAAAGAAAAAAAGCTCAAATACAAAGCAACAAACCAAAAAGTTTTGGTTTGTTTGGTTGTTTTTTTTTTTCTGTGAAAGAGGCTATGATCTAGAAGAGACAAGTACCACCCGTAATTCAGAACACTGCTCAAAAATACACATAGGTATCTCAAATATATTTGTAAAATTTAAAATGAGGTTCACAAAAAAAAAAAAAAAAAAAAAAAAAAAAAAAAAAAAAATCTCAGTGAGCTTCCTACTATTTTATTCACCTGTAATAAAATAAATAAAATTATCCATTTGGATTAAGGCTACTTTGATAAATTGTGCTATTATGGTAGATCTGGAATACATTGCATCAGAACCAGGTTTGAATAAAGACAGACTTTGGCACAGAGGAATGCCACTGAGTCCTGCATCACATGAGGAAATTCTGCAGCCTTCCCAGATGCATGCTCACAGAGGCAGAGCTCACTTGGGAAATGTTCTGCCAAAAGGAGTGTGAAGAGATGACATCTTTCCTTGGTAAGCAGTAGATGAGCACTTCCTGTAAGTGTTTCCAGAATAATCCTGAATCAAGCTACTGCAAATTAGTTCATCCTAAACAGAAAATGGATCAGAAGTAGGCTTCATTGACCTTGACTTGAAAAGGGAAGACTAAGGTGTTACCCAAGCTGTGAATCCAACTGGATCAAGTAGTTGAGGTACAAGAACCTCCAAGAAGGATTGGATTCTGTTTAGGGAAAGCTGTTACAACTACAAGGAATCTGTAAAGCAGGCAAGGACTGAGGAATGAAAAGGTATGGAAAAAATGGCAAAGAGGAGGAACTTTATAGAAAGAATGCAACAAATAAACCGTTTCTAGAAGAATACTGGGAACAAACTGAGAACCTACACAGAATGGAAGAAAACTGGCTCACTGACAGACAAAGCTGTCTCGGAGATTAAAACGTGTAACAATAAGGCAAGCACAGCCAGAATCAGTGCCAGATTTTGCAAAGTATAAGTATCAAGAGGAAACAGAGCAACAGGGATTCAACCTAGTAGTAGCATTACTTGATGTGAGCCGGAAGGATTAGAAAATATCTAGTCCAGGAGACTGGACAAAGTGGCATACAAAATCATACGTACAGCAGCAAGGAGGTTTAAGTAATCTATTACAATGCATAGAGTGTCCTGTAATTAGAAATCTGCAAATGCAGTAACTTTGGCAAGAAAGGAAATGTTTTGCACAACGGCAGTTTTAATAATACATAAAACTCTGACTTGAGCTCTAAAGGAAAAAGGGTAAAGTCAAATTTACAAGAAACAGATTGATCGAAACTGACCCAGTATACTTTCTCTCATTATATACCTGGCTTCCTAGGAGGAACAGAGAACAAATGGATCCTTTCCTGGGATTTACTAAAACATCTTGTCTTATTGCCAGGTGAACGTTACTGGTAAAGATCAAGAGAAGAAAAGGATTTTGCCCTCCATAACATTAAAGGGAAGAACTACTGTCTGGAGAGAGCTCAGCGCCGCAATTCCTCACAGAACAATCTGGGGACAAATTTTGCTGAGATCATTAAAAACATGTTAACCAAGAGCAAGCCATCATGTCAACATTTGGAAATGCTGTCTACAGGGGACCTACGGGAAGCACTGGATGATCTTAAGGAAGAGAATAAAAGAAACTGCATAAAATGAAGTGAAAGGTTATGCCTTTGGGGACCAACAAATTTGGTCATCAGTACAAAACAATGAAGACAAGCCTGTGCATACTACTCAATCACAGGACATTATGAACCACGAGCGTGACGTGTCTGGGAAGGAATTGAATGCAATCCTAGGATCCATTGAGAGATAAATCATGGCCAGCCATGCACAAGAAGGGGAAAAGCTGAGGGAAAGGCTACGGCAATTTTATGTGAAGAGGTGAAACGAGCTGGTTTGTTCAGCTTTGTGAAAAGCTGACAGGGGATGTGACTGCTTTCTATAAATAGAATAAGAGTAAAATAAGGAGCTTAAAGCCAGGGTGTAAAAGGACAATGTTAACATAAGAACAAAGGATGTAATAAGTAAATTCAAAACAGAAATTAAACGAAGGTATAAAACCATTAGGTAATGAGGTTTGAACAGCTTTCCAAGGAGGCAAAATCAGATCTGTTTCTAAAGCATCCTTTATAAATGCAATTAAAAAATAAATTGATGTTTACTGGACTTTAATCTGCTTCCTCAGGCTTTATTCTTTTTCTTTTCTAGTGGGGTACAAAATAGGATACGGACTATAAGTAATTTAATTTCTGGTTTCTTGCTTGTTTTGGAGAGTCCAACTGATTATTTCAGTGTTGGACAGGCTTTGAGTATTTTGGGGTTTTATCTTAACCTCGGCTACATGCATTTTGGATTAAATGTTTTGATTTTATCTCTGTCAGTTCCAAAGTACACACAGAGAAATCCATCATACACAGTACGAATTGCATGAAGCAATTGTATAGCTTAAAGCATCTCTAATAACTGCCATGGAGAGGTTATAAGGAATTTTAGGTCTCCATAATTATGGGAAGTATACAAGTATGGAGTTTTTACTCTTCATCAACACATGGCAAAAGTCTTATAGGCTTACTGCATCCATGTTTCATTCCTTCAGATCCCAAGGCCTTGGAATATACCTGATCCCCCTCTATGCTTATCACTGAAAGCCAGATCTGCTCGCTCTTTGGCTTTTTCTCTCCACATTTATATAATATTTGATTTTTTTTCTTCTGGTTCCACAGAACACTGGTGCCACAGAACTAACAATTCCTAACTAATAAGGGGGGGGGGATGAGAAATGCTGATTTCCATGCCTATATTCCACAATTATTTTTCTTTAAAACCAACTTTTAACCATCAACCATGTAGAACATACTTCTATCTAGTGTGAAGGAAATGACATAAAGGATTATTGCTTATTTTGCAAGCTAGGTACCGCATAACCTCTTTTGCCATTCTTACTCAATATCCATTTCATCTTTGAGATAGAGAATTGAGAGCAACATTTTAATAATGTAGACCAATTCTGCATTCCACAAAGGGTTTTTTGTTGATATTGTAGTAACAGAAGGCCTCAGGTCAGTGGAATCTAAATTAATTGTTTCTGCAGATAGTCCTAATATATTTTAGGTAGTGCATTCAGCATGCAGAAAGCATGTATGAACTTTTCAGAAAGCCTTTCATATTCAAATCAGGTAAACATCAAGCTATATACATTCATGAATACAGCAGTAATTACCATGCTCTGAGGACATGTTGAAATGACATTATCGCTTGTCAGCAGGATACCACTGGCTGCTGTCATTGACAATTTACATTTAGCATCAATGTTAAATAGTCTGCTTATTAGTTTGTTAATGACCCGAAAAAAATCAATGATTTAAAATACTTTAGGATATAGAATGTTACCTTATAACTTTAAGGGATAGCCTAGACTGGCATCAGAAAGCAGTGTGTATAAAATAACGTGTTCATTCAAAATTATGGATCCATTATTAGGAATATATTGCACCCACAATAGGAAAATGAGATGATGATCATAAAACCAGATAAACATAATGGTATAACACTAGTTAATCAAAGAATATTAGAATATGCGAATCAGCACAGTCAGTCCTATTCCTTTACTAATACAAGATTTCCAATAGACAAGAAAATGTTTTACATAACCCTGAATAGTTCCTTAAGTTGTTTTATTATTTACAATTGATCTTGTCTGTGATGGCAGGTCTCCCTTTTCTATGGCAGACAAATCTAGAAAAACAGTATCCATGAGGAAGAGTTTAATGAAACAATATGAAAACTTCTGAAAGGCAATAGTTGTTTGGGATCTTTTTCCTATTTAAAGATAAATAAAATTGTTTGGCCTTCCCCAGTGAAACAAAAATCTAGTAGCATCTGAATCCATTGATTTTAAACCTATTCTCATTTTAGGGAATACTACCAGATATGAAAGCAGCATTTCCAGTGTGTCCTGTCCCTGGTTACTTTGCACATGATTGACTCACGCAAGTGCAACAATAAGTTTTCCACATGTATTTTGCCCTGACTCCATCTGCCTTAACACACACTAACTACTATCTCAGACACCAAACCTGACTATAACTATTTTTCTTTCTAAATTCACCCAATTTCAATAAATTCTTCATAAAATCCTCTTCAGTAATTTTCCTTGAGGATTTTGAAATGCACATAACACTTCTGCTCAAAGAGAGATTATTTTATTCTAATATCTTAGAACAGATGAGTTATATCTGAGCTGCTACAGGAACAGCAGAGGAAGAAAAAAAAATATATATTTGCAGAACTTTCTCTTCACTTTTCAAAACAGTATGAAACTAGTATTGAAGATAAACCGAATTTGAAAAACTCAACAAGAAACCACATTTTCTCATCCATGCAACACAAAGACCTTCCTTTCAGAACCACCCTACAGATATGGGTAGAGTTTAGAACTAAGAATACATCTAGAGTAGATCTAGGGAACAGTAAGTTTTTTCTACTAGCAGCGTTCAAACTATGCACTGTGGAAAAAAAAATGCTACCACTTGTAGTGTTAATTAGTTGTCTGTGGGAGGAAAAAACCTTGCAGAATTTATCTTCTCTAGACTTTGATGTGGCTATCACAGGGACATTTTTAACTTCAGATAATTGGTGTAACTCTGTGACTAGTGGTAGTCTCTCCAGTGGGTAAATCATGAGCAGTCGCCAGTCAAAACTAATGTGTATTTTTTGTATGCATGGCCTGTTACTTTGAAAGTGTGTCTGCTGTGTGCATGTATAGCAAGATAGGTGATAAAAAGAAGAAAGCAAATACTATGGGTATAAGATTCCCTACATATGTTTATTCTGGCTGAAATTAAAGATTTCCAAAGAGAACAACCTGGAAATGTTAATAATATTTTGCAATAAATGCTCTGCACCAACTTTCCCCAAGGTATTGTTAACCCTTAGATCTGCAACAAAAGTCAGGATTCACATAATAAATCAGATTCATCCTGTTTTCAGCTACCTCCACAAAGAAGGGAAAGTAAACAGAAGGCTTTGCTTCACAGTATGACTTCACATGTGGGCAAAATTATAAACTATGAATGCTGACAAGTCCTTAATCGCAGGAATCCCCTTCACAGGATAGACAGCCAGGTATTTGATTTTATTAACCTTTACATAATAGGTTACCAGCTACTCAATTTTTTGTCAT